TATATTTTTCTTTATTTGTTATTAAAGGGGTTTATTTATCAAACTAGTGACCGTTGTCCTTATTGACAAATTGTTAAGGAATATTTCGATGTTGTAATTCTAATGCGATAATCCAATTTATGAAATTGGGTGTTTAATTATTTATTTATTAAAAACAATTGCTTAAAACAGCAACAAGCTTGGTACAAACGTGGCTTAAACAACGAACAGTACTTAACTATACGTATAAATGATTAATTATGGATTTAAAGAGAGGAAGTTTAAAAAATATTTTTATATATTTCACAAATTGGATTACGTTAATGGATTACTATTTATCACAAATACAATACTGTTGTAAAGATATTATAAAAAGCTCACAATAATCATGTAATTAGATTTGAGGGTATCTTTATATTAGCTGCCGTAATGGAAGTTGATATTCTCGATCGCACTTCGCGCAGAGCGCGCATTCTGTCATTCCAACGCTATCAGTCGGAGGGAGCGGACGTCTAAAGTTCTTTACGAATTCGCTCATTAATTTACTTAGAATGTAAGGCAGTGCTTATTTTGACATTTTACAAGCGTCTCACATACAGTCCGAACACGAATAACAATACTAAGGTCAGTTTAAGAAGCTTACACGAAAATGATATGCCGCCTGTCAGCTTTGTTTGTTTAGTTTGTGCATGATATGTTCCTTTAGAAAAATATACATATATCTTAAAATATTATTGATATACAACAACAAAATCAAGATGTACAGAGATTTATTTTTAAGTTTATTAGGACTTTGGCTGTTGAGTCATCAGAGGAAAAGTTACAGTTAAAAGTTAAGTTAACAGGGAATTACCGGAGATTTTAATACTTCTTCTGGTTCCGACTATGTCTGTTGCCATTGGTCATTGACCAGAGATTATAAAACCATACTGAACGCAGAGTGTACAAAACTACGAGTAAAGTTTGCACATTTCTAGCATTTGGTAGGTCGGATATTTTTAGTTAATCACAATAACACTCTTTCTATTCTTTGGAATTTTGTAAAATTATGATGTCTATACCAGTCACATCGATTGGATGGGTAATTCAATGTATTTATAGTTTAAATGCAATTAATATGTATAAAACAAAGGGAAACTAAAGAAATATTGGACTCCAATCAAGTTTTGTCTAAATTTTATTTTTGGGACAGGCAAAAGTTCTCTTGTGTTATAGACATTATACAGAAATAGACTACATAGAACAAATAGAATCTTGGGCCATTATTTATTAATCGACTCCAATTATGTATTGCCCTTATTTTTTAATTTACTTGGTGAGATACAAAAGTATAATTTTTGTACGAGAATATACATCTTGAGTTGTATGTATATTATATCAATAATATCAAGATATACGTCTGTTAGCAACTCATAGGCAAACAATACCTTAATGATACTGAACAGGACGCTGGATAGAGCGTTTTATTACGATATTTATCTAACTATATAGCCGTGTAATATTATATTATAAACAATTTCCCTAAAACCAAATATTAGGTTGATAGATACACACTATAGGAGTTCGGAGCTATGCCCCTCGCATAGCGAAGTGAAACTATTCTATAATATACGGATAACATTATAAATATTTCGGTTAAACAATATCTCCACGATAAATAATGTCATTAGAATAAATATATTTAAATAGATTTGACTAGTATAAGATAAAAATAGACACCGAGCATGGTTTTAACTAGATTGGTAAGATTAAATTATTGCTCTATTAGGTATACATTTTTAGTTTAACAAGTGCAATAATTAGATATAATAAAAAATTGGTTCCATTTCTTTCGATTCAGTTAAAAAAATATCATTCGCTTATCTTCATTTCTGAGACCTTGGTTTTTATGAAAGAAAATTAAAAAGTAAAAACACACAATATAAAAATGTTCGTTCTTCGAAATAAGAAAAATAAAACAATGTAAATTAAAAAGAAAACAATTTATTTACATATAATAAATTGACAAATTAAAAAGAAAAAATAAACATCTTTGGTTGAAATGGCACGATTCGAAATTCAATTTGAAAGAGAACGCTTTCAGATATTGCAAGCGGGGCGATTTTTTTTTTAATTTCTTTGGCTGTATGCTGGAGTGAAAAGCAATGATGGTTGGTAAGGTAGCGAGTGATGGTGGTGACAAGTGCGGTAATGAGGCTAAGGCCACAAACACATTTACGTTTTGACTTAGCTTTTTGTGACGTCAGAGCACTGTTGCGGGGATGTCCTCCTCCTGCAATATTATATTATATTCAAATTACTTAATAATTTAAATGTTGTATAAATGAAAAGACGGTTCTCATATTGTACAAATGGACCAACTGTATTAGGTGATAAAATCTGCCAAAACTACACAATTTTAGAGAGGTAGTTGGCGTAGTAAGGAATGTATATATTTTTTTATATTATGATTATGATGAAACTTATTAATATAGTTGTACATTGTTATGGATTATAAATGGTATGACAACTGTGTCGAGGAACTTGAGAGAGAAACAAGAATAAGGACAATGATTACTAATAGTGGAAGTTATGTCAGAAGTCAAAAAACTGTTAATGTATACGAACACAAAATAATTTATGCTTAAATGATAATTTCATATCCCGCACATTATTCTAAAAGGCGTTCTATATTATATAAATTAGCAAACACTCCCTGGTTAGAAAATAATCTTGAAAATTTTATAAATTTACTTATGCGTAAGAAAAAATAAATAAGAAATAATAATTAAGTTGAATTATTAAGTAGATTCATCATTAGTTAGTTCAAAATACACACTTTAAGCATTCCTTGTAATTAAAACGTAGTGATCATTTGCTCAATGGCTGATATAAGAAATGGATATAGGCCGTGATAAAACTACATAAGTACAGAATACCGCAGTTTCAGTCAGAGAAATAATTATTGGCTTCGCGCCCATTTGTTGCTAATGTTTATTCCATTTTTAATTTAATGAAATATATGCTGTTTTTAAATTTAAAATTGACAAGCTGGCAGATTCCAAATAAAAAAAATCACCCACATTCTCGATACTGTATATGAACAATACCCAGACTATTACATTATCGTCGCAGACAGCAATGACGTCATCGGCTAACGCGATGTCGACTGGCATTTGTATGGAGCACTCCTCTGGATTCATGGGAGCCTGGTACTCGCCCTGTTGGAGTTCCACTATCCTCTCGTTCTATAAGCAGGAAAAATATTTTATTTCGAAAAATTGTCGATACAAAATTGATAATGAACCAAAATATGAGAGCGATAATAAAAATAATAAAACTAATGAAATGCTGAATATTTATGTATAAATAAGCAATAACTCTGGACGACGCCATTAAATTCCAAAATTAATAGACAACAAACCAAGAGACAATAAAAAAAATGTTTATAAAATAAATACCTCAGTTTTAAGTCTATTCAGCAATTTATCTCGCTCTATTTTCAGTGCGTCGCATCTTGCTGTTTCATTCTCATCGAGCACTCCCTTGACCTCCAGTTCCGCTATATGGGAATCTTTCTCTGTGATAGAACATTCCAGGATGTCTTGACTGGAAACAAATACAATACTCCTATATTTATATATATATGTGCAAAAGCAAATAGTCTAATCAGTGTTTGTAGTAACCCAAATAGACCAATCCCCCACAAGCATTTGATATTATGTATTGGATTGTATACCGTAGATTTTCCAATAGTATTCAAAGAAACTTACATCACGCGTGACAATTGTTGCAGTACCGCTTCCCGCATCGCTTTGCAGCCGAGAAACGAATCCTCCAGCTGTTTGAAACGCTTTAATACTGAGGTACACGTTTCACAGTTTAGCGCTGAGGCGTTCTGCAGTGATCGTATCCGTTGCTCCATCTTCTTCATCTGCGAAATTTCGAAGAATAGGATTAATTTCGTTTTGTTCAATTATCTACTTTAATCATAGATATTTAGATAATATATAGAAAACACCCAGACTATTACAAACAATCCTACTGATGAATGATGTTCGCACGGTGCGTAGACTCGGACCGGCGACCATCGGAAGTAAGGCGGTTTGCCAAGCCGCTAGATCACTGATATAAAAGCGACGGCTACTATTCACCAAAAGATGACCAATCCGCTTTTTTCCAATTGCGTAGAAAAAACAATTACTTATCCTAATTTTAATCTTGACACGTACGTAGCAATAATATGTAGGCCATAGTAATTAAATAGAACTCCGTCATAACCAGCGCTCCTAATAGCCTAAAGATAGCCCAGATCGTAATTATTTCTTTTATGCTCTCTACAAATATTTAAATTCACTTATTTTTACTTTTATTCAAAATACCTTACATCACCATCAGAGCCATTTTTCTTTATTACTACATTTGTATCACGTTAAGAATAAATAATTGAAAATTTACCTTGACCAATGTTTCAATTCTTCTCTGTTCTTCTTCATAAAATACCTTCTCTCTTTCTGCAGCAATCAAAAAAGATTCCTTGAGCGCGTCTTCCAGTTCTAGGATCCTACTATCTCTATAGTCGACTGTAGCCGTTCCTTTCTTATTGACGATCAGTTCCAACTCGTTAATTCTTTCATCTTTACTTCTAACTACCGCTAGAAGTTGTTCGAATTCTGCTATATTATTATTCTCTCTTAAAGCGTCTTCCAATATGGATATACATCTCTGTTGTTCAATGATTTTAGAATTTTTTATATTAATTTCTTTCGATAGATCTGATATTTTTCTGCTCAGTTTTTGTACATTCGGCTGACTATTACCAGTTTTACTCGTATGAACCATATCTAAGTCGTTGTAACTCCTACTGAATCTGCTTTTGTCAAGCCTATCCACTACCTTACCACTCTTTTGAAGTTCAAAATAGCTTTTACTTCTCTTTATCTCTCTCAGTTCTTGACCATTAGAAATTTTGAGCACCTCAGACAGAATAAGTGACGACTCATTCAATTCTATTTCTAAATCGATCACCTTCATTTTGCTCTCTTCCAATTTACATCTCAAACCGTCTCTTTCTTTCTTTAATTTAACTAACTCATCTACAGCTGCTATCTCTGTCTCTTTACCTCGGTTCACTTCCTACACGACAGGGGATCAATAGATGAAAACAAAGAACAAATTAAAATAATGAAATAGTATTTCTTTTTACTTCAACAACAAATTATCAACAATGTAAACTCAAAAATAACTGGAGAAAGGTCAACATATGTTTTCTTTAATAATTTTAAATGTAATTTGATAATCGCATAACAAGATGAAAGCTGGGTAACATCGACTATTTAGTGGACAACTTACATCATCTAACTAGATATATGTTCACATAACAGTTTTACATAATAATATTTTTTTTTTATTCATATCAATTCTTAACAAAATAATACCGGCTGAACACGTTTTTTATTTGTTCAAAACTTTTAAACGTCACTTAAAAATATCTCTAAACTAATTTATTAATCTTAGTTGTGTGCTGGTTACAATGAACTGAGACTCGGTCGTACTGCGTACATATTATATCGGAGTACATCAACAAGACTTTGTTATTATTATCATCTGAACACTTCATATATATTCAATATAGATATCCATAACATTACTTATTACGAAATTGCAATTGTAAAGCTTAACTGTGATAATTTTAGAAAGACGTGGAGTCGGTAGCTGTCGCTCACGGAACTTTGATAAATCGACGGTTTAGGAAAATAATTATGTAAATTAAAAAGAGCAAATAAATTAATGACAGTCTTGATGCGAAGGACTAACTTAGAAAAAGCTTTTGAGGAAACCAGCGGGTCCAGCCTGCGAGCATGGAAAAGAAAATTAGTGTATGTTAGTGGATTAATGAATAAGTAAGTTAGCAGATATCACACTATTTTAATATGTAAAAATTTTGGTAGCAATATAATGACAGGTATAAGAGGCCATCCATAAACCTTGACGTGTGGCAAGCGCTCGACATATATATAACATATTATATGTAACCTTACATAACATGGAGGGAGTCATATTTCATTTAATAAAAATGGTGAAATCTAGCAATGTTCCAATCCCTCTGAGGTATCTTAGATTGTTTGAAATAATTATCTTAAGTATTTAAACACAAAATTCTAACTATTAATAAGTGGCTATCTGCGTCAGTGTTAATGACTGAAATTGATGTAATTTCATTTATGGATAACCCCTATGTTACATAGTATTGTCATACTATACATTAGTATATACATAATGCTGATTGTTATGTTTAAAATACCAACAATAAATAGTTATACGCTTTAAATGAATTTGCATTATCACGATTAGAAATAATCTTTATTCAAAATTTAATACAAGAACTTTTAAATAGTCACATTTATTCTGATTCTACCATTTATTCGGATCGGAGACATCTCAAGAAGAATGAGCAAGAATTCGAAGAAGAATTGTGGTTCTTCCATATCATCTATTAAACCATTTATAAAATATTGAACACTAATTCGGTTAGATCTTTTGTGTATAATTATTACAATCATAGCTACAGATAAATCCCATATGTTATGTTGAGCATAATTTTGAATGATTATTGAAACTGATTACTTCATCTCATCATCATCTCTTTACCAGTAAATGAATCATTGATGAACACTTATAAGGAATATTTAACAGTGATATTACAAAAATATCTAATCATATGGCACTAAAGAAAAACTTTAATATTGTATATATCTTTAGTACTATATAAAATATACTCTTATAAAAGGTTTTTACATATGACATCCAATAGTTTAGAATCGATTTAAAGACTTCTCGTAAACAAAAAGACTTTGTTTAGAATTTTTATAGTAGTTACTTTTCCTCATATTATTATTTTCCTTCATTTCATTCCTCATATTATAAATTCGAAAATATTTTTATACAAAAAATATTTTGCGGTGGAACTGATCGTAATGAAATTTTACATAAAGATAGATTGTATCACAAGGTTAAGGGAGAATAAAGGTAGCCTATATCGGTATAGGGCTGCCTTTAATTTTAAAAAATAATCTGGACGGGGATGTAATAGATGGTTAGAGTTTGTGGAGACGAAATCATATTACGAAATTATTATTCGTATTAATGTACATATTAGTGAATTATTGGGTTAGTATGAAGAAGTTTCATGATAAAAGAAATATTCAAACATATTCGTACCTCTTCTCTTTGTGCTTGTGCTTGTTGCTGACTTTTGAGTTTGGCTTGAAGGTTTCTCACAGATCTGAAAATTAAAAATACTTTATGTAAATACATGCCTGCATACATGCTTTATTATAAATTTGCAAAATTTTCTCGGCTTTTACTGGCTTAAGTGCAGTGCCTGTAAATATATGTCTATTATAATTATTAAAAAGGGCAGAAATTGTTGGTAATGTATGAAATGTTTTATTTATATATAATACTATAGCCTAATTATTCACTACCTTGCCATTGTAGTACTCTTTCAATTTCAGAATAGATTTCATTAGTTTTTATTGACAATTATAAATTTAGAATACCGCAGAAAGAATACGCGATGATATCTAAAAATCACGTTTTTAGATATAATGTATTTAATTTTGCTAAAAGCAAAATTAATGTATAAATGAATTGTCATCTTATATTAATGAGCTGGTGTACATTTAATAATAAAAAAATATATACGCTGTTAATGACGATGGTGCGTCACTTTGCTTAATATCTACCGAATTATCAGTGCGTCTTAAATATATCTACTCTCAAAAAAACAGCTAAGACTTACTGTTGCAAATCCATAATCTGCTTTTCTTTCTGTGCCTGCTCTTCCTGCGACATCTGCACCAATTGTAGAAGCCTCTCCGTTTCTGTGGTCAGCCGCTTCGCCTCCTCTTTGCTCTGGTCCAGCTGTTGCTTCAACTGCTCAGCGTCCTTCTGTGTGTCTGTCAACTTGCGGTTCAGATCTGTGACCGCTGCAGCGCTGCCGCCAGCCTGAAATTTATAGACAGATGTCTTATGTTATTAAAGAATGAAAATATTAATCACAACACCTCCTCATATCTTGAATACTGTTGTCGTGATTAGGTTAATAAATTTTAGTGCAAGCAAAAATATAAACTTCCAGGATAATCCATCAAAATAATAGACCAATATTGCTATTATTAACAAGTGTAACGATTACAATAACTCGCCGCAAATTATCAGTTATCGTGACGTCACAGCCATAGTCAGTCGTCCAGATTGCGTCGCGGCAGCCATATAAGAACGGAAACATTGTTTATGCAAACGACGCTTCCGGTCTTCTATGGTCTTGAACTAAGGCTCTGCTACGTTATCAACTATAGGATATAAGTGTGTATCTTTTTACTTGCTGTAAATATTAGTGTTTAGAAAATACTTTGTTTGCCTAAGATCACGCCATAACTCACACCTTGTTTAGCTCTAAGATTTAGGTACGAGGAATTTGGTAATTAAATTATTCATTTATATTTAAAGTAAGATGCTCTAAAATTTCTGAACAATATTTGTAGGTACATCATATTACACATCATAGATCTTTTTACAAGTAATTATAGAATAAACAAACATTTATTTAGACATTACCTTCCTCAACGATGCTTCCATTTGGTCCATTTGCTCTTTTCTCTTCTTCAACTGTCGATCTAATTCCGTCAGCGACTTCTCTTTCTCCTCCACGTCTTTCCTCTTATTCTCAAACGTTCTTCTTTGTTCTTCGAAATGTCTTCTCGCGTCTTCCAACTTCTTAAATTCTTCTTGAAGTTGCCTCTTAGCTTGGACTGTATCGTCTCCAGCTTTGGCGTTCTGAGCGCCAGCTGCTTGCAGCTTCTTGTTCGCTTCGTGGAGATCGAGCTGTTATCAGACATAATGACTATTATTTATATATTCCCAATAAGGAGAATATAATAGTCTGCAGCGTTTCCATTACTGGAAAACGAATAGATAACAGTAATAAAATTACAAAAAAGCATAACTTTTTACAACAACGTCGCAAAATATAAATTTGGTTTTGCAGGCCAAATAATTTAATGATAAAAATGACTCTGTTCAAAATTCTTTAATCAGTATGACGAAAAAAATAGTCGCAAATATACACAATACAGTAGCGAATGCAGCTGAAAAAGAATAGAACAATTAATGATTTATTATTGATATGTACATTAAGCATTCGGCAATTTTCTTGCACCAAACATTTACATCATAACCGAGATAACTAAGAAGTATATGTTTGGATGGGTGCATCTTGTGATTGAAATGTAAGGTGCAACAATTTGCTCGGATCTCAAATCACGACACATACGACATATCTCACGGCAAGAAACATTGCGATGATGGAACTAAATAAAATAAATACAAATTGTAATGTGGGGTTGGAGGATGCCCTGCGGGCTGTGGGAGGCATGCTACTATACAACAACAATATACATGACAACCGGCAATGATGACCCCAAACAAAACTCAAATGTATGAACATTGAAACCAAAATATCTACTCGATAACACCGGTGCAATGATGTAAGCAGACAACGTACGCGACTTGATTGCGATTGAATCGAGTTTTGATTTTATTTTTTTGATTACTTTCATATATTCTGTAACATCTCGAGAGGCAAAAGTATGGTAAACAATTCTAAACTCGATTCAACCACGCATTGCCGTCCCGACAGCTTCACGTCGCCGGGCGATCCTCCAACTGACCTGGCTCTTCTCCAATTCTTGAACAAGCATCTCGAGCTGCGACTGGCATCTTTCACGCTCAACTGCAAGGGAACGCGCCTCCGCTTGTGCCGATTCGAGCTGCTTCTGAACTTCACGCACATCCGATGGTCCCCGTGCTTGAAGCTGCTGAAGTTGATGCTGTTGTGCTTGGAATTGTTTTTCCAGAGACTGTAAGCGCTGCTGGCATTCAGATAAAGCTTTTTCAGCTGCGATTGCTTTGGTTTTTTCGGCCTCAACAGCTGCTCGCCACTTATCAATTTCTCCAGCTTTTTGTGCTTCTCTCTCAGCCTTTTCGGCACGCTGTCGTATCGTTTCTCTCTCTTTGGTAACAACTTGGACCTGTTGTTGTAATTTAGCAATTTCTCTATCGCGACTTTCGAGGACGGTTTTGGTGCCACGCTCAGAATCCTGCGCCATCTTTCTCTGTTCTTCTTTTAATCTGCGTACCTCTTCACGCTGTTTCTGTAATTCGGCTTCCGAAGCATTCAATTCTCTTTGGAAATTAACTAACATATCCTGCGACTTTTCTAGTTGAGCTACTAATTGATCACGTTCAATTGTAAGCTGTTTAGTATCGGCTTCTAACTTCACGATCTGTTTTTCAATAGCATCTGCTTGTTTGTCTCTTTGTTCTAATATAGAAGCCATTTTTTCTCTGTCTCGCACGGATTGAGCTAATTCTTGTTGAAGTTTTACTAGAGTTTCCTGTGTTCGATGGTCCAAAGTTCTTTGTTGTTGCTCAACATTGCGTCTCGTATTCTGTATTTCTGCTCTCAATGCGTCTCTTTCTTGTTCAATCTGTCGCATTTCAAGGATTGTACGTTCAAGGCGCTCATGCATTCTCCCTAATTCGTTAGTCATCCTGTCATATTCTACACGCGTTGACTCATTAGTTTCCTGGTATTTGGCAAGATGCATTTGAGATTTCTCAAGTTCCTTTGCCAATCGACCTGCTTCCATTTCTGTCGAGTCTCTTGCTTGGATAGCTTTTTCCAGTTTGTCTCGCAGGCGTTCAATTTCCAATCTATCCTCAGTCCTTGCTTTATCTCCAGCTACTGCCTGTAATTTCATCCTCTCAATTTGTTGCAACTCGCTCTTCAATCTCTCGTTATCTTTGTCTAACTGCTCAGATCGTAACTTAAGTTTTTCACAGCGATCCCTGAACTTTTCACACTCAATATGAGCGCGTTCAAGATCAGTTCTCTGTTTCTCTAATGCCCCTGAAAGTTTCGCAACTTCGCTCTTGGATAACTCTAATTGTATATTTAGTTCGTGTAACTTGGTCTCAGCTTGTTCCTTTTCTGACTGTACGCGTTGAATGTCAGCCTGTGCCACTTCATACCGTTCGCGGTGCTTGTCGATCTCTGCCTGCATCCTATTCAGCTCGTTGGTCCATTTATCCTGTTCGAATTGGTATTTACCTCGAAGGCCTTCGACGCGTTCGAGCTCCGAGCGTAGACGTACTACTTCTTCTTCTGACTTGCGTGCTCGCTCCAAGTCTAATGTTGTCTTCTCTAACCGTGCGCGAAGTCGTTCCACCTCCAATTTTGTTCTTTCATGTTCTTCTTTAGTATCATGATATTTCCCATAACGTGCCGCATATCTCTCTGCTTCTTCCCTCGCTCCACTAGCATCTTGTTTGACTTTATCAAGTTCGGCCTGCACTCGTCTTAATTCAGAAGATACTTTATCATGTTTGTCATACATCTTTTCTAGTTCAATTTGTACTCTAGCCATTTCTTCCTGAGTTTTCTCATTAGAAGCTTGTGCTTTACCACACTGAGTCATTGCTCTATCATATTCAAATTGCAGCCTTTCATTATCGGCAACCAGTTTTTCCTTCTCTGCTTGCAGTCTTCGCAACTCTATCTGACTCTTTTCATACCTTTCTCTAACCATATCAATATCAACACTCAACCTATCCATGTCTTCCTTAGCTTTCTCTTCTTGTTCTTTGGTCCTGCCTAATTGTAAAGATGCTCTGTCATACATTTCCTGTAATCTAGCCAGCTCGTCTTGCATCTTTCTTTGATCTTCTCGGGCTTTTGTTGCCACGTGAACTTGTTTTTCCAATTCAAGTTCAATACGGTCTTTGTCGGCTTCCAATATATCTAATTTGTTTTGCAATCGGTAAATTTCATTTTGAGATCTGAAATAAAGGAAATCAACATTTAGTTCATACATAATAAAACCGTTTGTTCTACGGGCTAACACTGACATCGCCACCAACACAAGACGACATCTAGAACAAAATATACCTATCATACTTTTCAAGCATTTTTTCATATTCTTTGTGCGCATTTTCCTTTTCTTCGTTGGTTTTTTGTGTAGAATAGAGAGCTTTATCTAGTTTTTCTTTCATTATTTCAAGTTCTGTTAGTGCATCATCTCTCTCCATCTGAAATTTAAATAAAACAGTATGTTATAATTTATTTCAAATGGCAAGCCTTTTAGAATATTACTTAGATACAATTTGTTAACGATCAAAAACAAATTGCGACAATGTAGAAGAAGAGGTTAAAGTAAACAATGTCATGAAATCTGTGAGGATCACTGGGATGGAGTTCCAGGAGTGTGATCCCCCAGATTTTATGAGAATTTGAGGTCACAATTTTAGAACATAAACACAAAATTTTACCTTTTAAAATATGATAGAGGGTGCGAATAGGGGGAAGTAATGACATTGGTGTTACGTATTTTCTCGATGGAGAGAAGGGGTAGGTAGGAATAATAATTGAAATTGGCGTGACGTACTTTATGAATAAATAAACAAATAACCCTGAACAATTCACACAGCGCCTCTATACCCAAGTTAAGCAAGCTAAAGTTATTCTATTTCGGGTAAGTGCCCAAAATAGAATAACTTTAGCTTAACTGATACAAATACATAGAATTTTTTCGTAAATACATATTATACATAGAAACTAACCCAGACTTATACAAACAATCATACTCATGAATACAAATGTTTGTGCCGTGCGAAGAATCGGACCATTGGAAGAAAAGCGGTGTCCTTTACCGCTAGACCACCGAGGCCGTCAAATAGTCTTAAAGTATAGATTAATCACCGTGAGTTTCTGATGCTGTTGGTGTGCCTTCTCCCATCGTTCTCTCAACACGTCCAGCTCCGTAGCGGCACTGTCTCTATCTCGGGCGGCTCTATTGGCAGCAGCGGCGGCCGCTTCGGCCCTTTCACGGCTGCTGGCTGCGTCAGCTAATGCTCCATCTCGCTCTTTCTGTATACGAGCTACTAATGCCTGCAAAAGAGATGAATATATGACAACCTTTTTGATAATAATAATTTAATAGTTTGCAATGAAATATTTTTCAGAGTCATTAATGGTGATATCTTTTCAGAAGAAATGTAAATTCATACTGTAATCAGCTATTTTATACATAGTTTAAATTATGTAGACAAAGTCACAGAAAAAAACCATTTTTTATAATAGTAATAATAACAAACACAATTCACAGCACCATCTAGTCCCAAGCTAAGCTAAGAACTTGTATTGTGGGTACTGGATAACTGATACAAATACATACATTAATAAAATAATACATTTTTTAAAATCCATCCATAATATACATAGAAAACACCCAGACCAATGCAATCATACTCATGATTACAAATGTTGCGTGCAAGGAATCGAACTCGCAACCTTCGCAAGTAAAGTGGTGTACTAAACCACTAGACCATCGAGGTCGTCAATTGATGTATAAATCAGTTTAATGCTAAAAATAAATCACTTAACATGAATGTATTCACTAGTATTAAAACGTTTCCAATATTAGGGACACTTAACCTAGATACAGTTATTGCATATGATTTTCTATATATAGTTGCAAAACATGAAAGTTACTTTCGGGGACTAAATATAATTTTACGCCACTTTTACTCAGGAGGACCGTCAGCTGGTTTGTCATTACTTATTTCTTACTTCAAGAATAGAATATATTAGAAAATCATCAATCAAATAGAAAAATTTAAGCTTTTGAATAGTGAGAAAAAATACAAAATTCTTTTCGTTTCTCATATGGTCACATTAAATTTAGTAGCTCGTCCAAATAAAGGGTTAGAGAAGGTGATAAACAAAAAAAATACAGTCAAAATGACATTTTATGAACATTACTTTAAGCTTTACTATAAAAACTATTTGCTTTTTGTTCTAATTTCATTCCTCTGCGTTATTTTTGTAAAAAGGTGTACGAAGTTAGGACTACGTGAAGTAAAACTTCAGGTATGAATGATTTATATACGTACTAGCTACCAACTCCGGATTCGCACGGGTGTACATGTATTGTAGAATAGAATAGAAATCATTTATTCAAATAAACTTACATTGAAACACTTTTGAATAGTCGTCACATTTTTTTTAATCTACCGCTCATTCGGAAAGCTGTCTCATCACAAGAAGAACGAGCAAGAAACTTGTGTGTTGCTCTTTTAAATAATTTTATTCTTACTTTACAATTTAAGTTTAAGTGTGAATACAAACTACCGATTAGCACAAATTAGATTAAATAATCAAATAGAAAAAATATTGAATACATAACAACTGGTTAAACAATTAATAAGAGGAAATCAATCATAGTGATTAGAGCAGACCAGTCCCTAAAAGCAACACCAGTTCACTATGTAAAGAAAATAATTTATTTTTATAGAATTCACGCTATGTAAAGAAAATTTATTTTTATAGAATTCACGCGAACTATGCCATGCATGATATATTGTTAAAAGTATTAATAATTTTAGGTAATACAGTAATCAAGTAGTTAAAATATTGTATGTAAATAATTTTTCGGACTACTCTAATGCTGTTGGCTGCAGCTGGCCTTTACAGCCGGCTGAAGGCTAACACTCGCCTGTACAAACATTACGTCAGACTCGTTTATGTTTATCTCAGTGTTCTCTGCTAATAAATAACAATTGCCGACGCCAGTATGTCTAGACGAGACGCATTATATTATAGCGACCTATATATTTATTGTCTCCGGTCTGGTCTGCCCTGGCCTCGTTTTTGTAGACTACGCTTTAGCAAAATAGGCAATAAATACTTCGTGACCGATTTCAGTTTTGAAATAATTGTATATGCTGAAATATACATACATTTTATATATTATTATTAATAATCTTACTTATCACTAATAGTTATGCGTCACTGTTGGGTTTACTAGTAGAGATCTCTTTTAGAAATAAGTCCACCTTTGCTCACTCTGTTAATCTCTCAATATATTAAATAAGTTTTCAACTGTGTTTAAAAGTGCAATAAAGAATATATATAAACCTGAAAGTTGCCGAGTCTGGATAAATGGATGCATATTTGTTGCTTTGGCACACAAAAACTACTCGATGAATTTTAATTAAACTTTCAGTATACAGCTATATAGCTTATAGGTACATCAGAATAACAGATAGACTATAAAGTTCATGCGGGTGAAATCGCGGGCAAATCTAGTATACCTATAATGAATTGATTAAAATTATATGAAGATTATTTCAAATTTCAATCCTTCAATTTTTGCAATTGTGTATTCTATAACACTTATGTACAAAATATTCATCAGTTTGAAATTAAGACCACTAAATATTTTATTATAAAATATCACCTGAGCCTTATCATGTTTGTCCCTGAACCTCTCAGCATCCAGTTGAGCTGTATCTCTCTCCTTCTGCAGCCTGGCAGCCTGGCCGAGCGCCTTATCGAGTTGCGATTGTAGCGATTCGAAGTCGTATGATTGCTTCTCCCTGTCCACTTGGAGCTGTGGAAAAAATTGTCATTACTAATTGAAGGAATGAGTTTGTTTGTTTATGCCTCTGATTCACTGCGGAGTAACAAACGGACGAAAACAACTATCTCCCGCGAAACGACGGGCTCGGTGATTTACCCATTTAACAAACATTATATTCATGAGTATGATTGTTTGTATCTGGGTGTTTTCTAGGTATGTATTTACAAAAAAAATATCACTTATCTAGTACCTACAACACAAGCTTTGCTTACCGTGAACCTAGATTGCGCTGTGTGAATAATATACATACAGAAATCATTTGTTCCTATAGGACATTATAGCCACTTTTGAACGTCAAGTTTTTTGTATTATTCAAATATTTTCACTACCGTCGTTATACTTATTAAATATAGAAGATAGCCTATATCACTCCTCATGATAATATATATCTACCTAACAAATTAAATTAAAATTCGTTACTTTAGTTATGAAATGGCAACACTGACAAACAGACATCGTCCTTTTTATAATGTTAGTATGAAGTAGGTGTACGACGTTTTTACTTTCTTAGAAAGTTGTATTAAATTAATTTAATATTATATTCCTGGAACCACATATTCTCGATGGGATTTTGTTCGGGGAAAGAAATTCAATTAAGTGCCTTATATTATAGTCCTGAACGTATCTCAAACATTTAGTAGGTACAGTATTTGTATATTGTAACATTTACGATTATTATTATAAATACGGTAGACAGATTCGTTGTCTATTATCGACATTATGATGAAAGATTGCTGGGTATACTCATATAAAATCTATTATTAGTAATGTGGACGTATGTCCTCATTGCTAACAATGTACCATATCACCAAAGGGTTCCCCATGAAAACCATCATCACATTCCTTGTTAATTTGTGGGCTATGGTGAGCTAACTCCTTATCGACCACTGGTGTCCCGTCAACCGTTAGTACAGGCGAGTACACTATTCCATTATCATCCATTAAAATATATATTTATGTATATATATAGTTAGGTACCGTATATGTTCTTCATTATAATCAGTAAGAATTGTTAATATCTACGTAAACTTTTTAATGTCGGCTAGATTAGAACTGGGTACCTTTGGATTTAAATCGGGGTAGAAACGACTCAGCATATATAACAATATATAACACTCTCAGCCTATTTAGAGCCTTATATTGTGTACGTATAATTGCGTAAAAATTTCAATTTATATTCATAGAATATCGTGTACATTATGCTCTCAATGTAATTTCATTGTTTTCAAGTCAATTGCTTGGAAATAACATCCCAAGAACGTTATGAAATGATTTCGTACTAGGTGAGCTACCCTGACTTCTGGCGGATATAATTATTAGAGAACTAATTTTTTTACATAAAATACTTTCACAATATTATGCGACAATGTAGATTGTTATAAATAAAAAAAAATCGGCTCCCAATTTTTTATAACGGATAAATCCAGTATAAACTTATATTTTCTTTATCCAATGATTCGCGAGCCAGTGACGTAGTTAATATATTGAATTTCGGAGCGGGCGGAGCATAAGTCAAAAACGAAAAAAAATTCGCCCATTGTTCGAAATTCTATTTAATTTATCATTAAGTAAGAAAGACTATAGACAAATAATATTGAAGACAAACAATATATTCTTAATTTGACCTATTTTTATTGATTTAATGTATCTTTTATGCATAAATTAAAAATCAATATTAGCATATGCACTCCTTCTCTATATAAAAGATAAATGCGAGAAATTTCATACTCCTCCGTAAATTTTGTAAAAACGGGGAGGTAAAAAATGTTTACTTCACGTATTAATTATAATATGATTAATTTTGACGCACCTTTCTAACTTCGACGGCGGACTTGTCTAACTTCTCCTGTAGTTTGTCAATCTCTGAATGTGCTGAGTCCAGGGAGGCTTGGAGTTTGTCTTGCTGAAGCTGTGCCTTGCCCAGAGTGGCCTGTGTGCGCTCCAATTCCTCTCGAGCTTTGTCCAATTCGGCCACTGCTTTGTCACGCTCGGAGTGGAGTCTGCTTATAGATGATTGTACTCTGTTTTAGAATGAGAAAATATTCATAAATTCAAAACATTTTTATTCATGTAGGTCTATTACAGACTCTTATAATGTGTCAAAGTTACTTCGGAGGGATTTCGAGACGAGAAGAGCTGACAAGAAAATCAGCTCGTATTCTTATCAAATAAAGGATACATATTTACCATAATACAGAATCGTTTTTAATTTCAAATTCGAGAGTATAGAGTGACCAAAATAAGCTACAGATATCTTCATAAGAGGAACATATGTGAAATCTCGTTATTAATTTATATTACATCTACGAATGTATACTGTGTCGCGGATTGTTCATTCCTTCACACCCTACCAGAGTTCCTGTAATTCGAAGGTCTTGTGATTTAAAATATTACTAAGCCTGTGTATCTTGTGATTTAAAATATACATGTAGTATATTATACTATATGTAATACATATATTGGTTCGGATATCTTTTTTTTTCTGCCGCCAAATAGCTTGTTTTGCAAGCTGTGTTCTGACTTTAAGGTGAGGTATAGTAAGAATAGATATTCCATGATATGGAGGTATATTCTTTGTCTCAGGAATGGCAACGCATGAGAAATATCACAAAGTTAATTTGTAGCAGGTTTGTCTTGCATTATAAAAAAAATGCACAGTAAGTTGTTTATTTCAAACCTTTTGTTGATCTCAGTTCGAATATATGCATTGACGTAAGTCAATTGCCTACAATTACCAAACTAACTAACTAAAGTACTATGTCACAATCTATAGACTTCATCAGATACAGAGAATCACGTAGCAAAGGCATCCTTAATTCATCCACTTTCATAATTCACAACATTCACAAGCCTTATGTTATGTACTTACCGATCATATTCCTCCTTCAGGCTGTCTTGTTCAGTTTGTGCATTTTCAAGTTTAGCTTTAAGACGATACACCTCACCTTGTGACTTCTCTAATTTATCTTGCAGTGCACTGGCCTCAGAGTGAGCTCTTTCAGCATCGGCCTGTGTAACTCTTAATTCTGCTTGTGTTCGTCTCAATTCCGCTGCAGATTTATCCGCCTTCTCCTGAACTCTATCAAGTTCCTGAGACGTAGTTAAGGTGCTTCTACCGAATGTTGTCTGGGACCTTTCTAATTCATGTTTCAATCGCTCATTCTCAAGCTCAAGTCGCGCCAGCCGTTGTTTGGCTGCTTCCCAATCAGCTCCTGACCTTCCAACTTCACTTGCCGCTTTATCAAGTTCAGCCTTTGATTTTCCTAATTCAGACTGAGAACTTTCAAGTTTAGCCTCAAGTCGATCTTTCTCTGCCTGGGCTCTTTCAAGTCTCGCTCCTAATTTCTCAACTTCGCTTTCTAGACCATGGAGTTTCATCTTGTATTCCGCAATTTCTCTTTCGTGAAGTTCTCTTTCTTCGTTCTTTTCGTGCTCAGCTCTGTCTCTTTGTTCGCGTAACTGTTGTATTTGTTTTTCCTTGTCTCCTATAACTTCCTCTAAAGAAGATAATGCACCTTCAGATGAGCAATGGTGTGCTTGCATGGCGTTTAATCTCGCTCTTGCCATATCGACCTGATTGTCTTTTTCTTTCAGGAGATCTTCTAAGTTTTCGATCTGTAATTATATTTCTAATTTAGGATAATTCTATACAAATATAACAATAAAGAAAACATAAAAAATATTAAAAGGAATGTGAAGGAAAAATTAAAATAATGAAAACGACATACCTTGAAATAAAAATGTCTAAAATTATATCACAAATAAAACACACAAAATAAACGTACACAAAAATAAAAATAAACGTACCTTGGAATGAATAACTAGCGTACAACTTTACTAGTAACAAAAAAAACCGAGACAAATTAATCCGGGTCTCTAAATGAACATAGCTGAAACACAATTAAGAACTAGGGGAAGTAATTAGAGAGTGCAGCGAACTAGGATACTTTATTAGTTTACCGGCCGCGGCTTATACCTAATTCATTAAATTGGTATTTAATGCATTTAATAAATTAAATAACATTTTCTGTCTTTATCTCGTGTATTAAATTATAATCTTTATTAGTTACGAACTAAAATTTGTTATTAGCTTATCCGCTGGGGTTTGTATTTATATAATTAATTAATCGCTATTTAATGCATTAAATAAATTCAATAGTATTTTTTATCTTCATCTCGTGTATTAAATTATAATCTTTAGTAGTTACGAACTAAGATTTGTTATTAGTTTATCCGCTGCGGTTTGTATTTATATAATTAATTAAATCGCTATTTAATGCATTTAATAAATTCAATAATATTTTCTGTCTTTATCTTGTATATTGAATTAATTGAAATATAATATTATTAATTACGAACTATGATTCATTATTAGTTTATCAGCTGCGGCTTGTACAGAATTTATTAAATTGCTATTGAATGCATTTAATAAATTAAATAACATTTTCTGTCTTTATCACGTGTATTACATTAATTAAATTATGATGTATATTAATTTAGAACTAAGATTCGTTATTAGTTTATCTGTTTCGACTCATACAGAATTAATTAAAGTAGGTACTATTTAAGCATTAATAAAACTTGCTTTGTTTTTGAACGTTATTATATAATCTACATTGAAATGTTGTTACAATGAAATAAATAATCATAATTGTCTATGAAGTCTTTTATTGTGATTTTCGAAGTTGCGCTTGATTTCGGCTTATAAATATTGTTTGTTTTTACGGCTCTTTAAGACATTGAATATACGCAATTTTTTTTAAAATCATCTATACGAATAAAGAAAATTTCCTCGTTATAATTTTCCTTTAGATTTAAATGTTTGATGTTTTTCGTTTTGGCTGAATGTACATTCTGAATAGGGCGATAATATAAAAAATACTATTCAAAGGTTACTCATATTAAGTTTATTTAAATAAAGATTGTTTGTGCTTTCGTTTGAAAATTCAAATCACGTTATTTCGCTCTAGTTCACATAGGATATATGTGAATGAACAATTATCTCTATAATGGTTACTAATATATATTATAATAATAGATAGGTGACGATTGCCAGTAAAATTTATCGATATCGATAGTACCTGCATGTGATTTTACGATATCAAATGTCAATCCACTACATATATCCAATCCAATTTTCAGAGATAGCTAGAGGCTGTGTTATACTAACCATTAAAAATTGGTATCACTGTCACAAAGGAAAGATAGGACATATTTGCTCACTGTCAAATATTTAATCGCAAAATTTATCAAAAAGAAGAAAAAAAATTAAACGCAGGGTGCGTTCGACAGCTACATAGGAAGGGTTTGTATGAGAAAATAAAAGTGTTGATTTAACTATTTTCGTTACTACTTCTTCACGGACTTTTGCAAATATTTTCAACATAAAATTAATCAAAACAATGCAATTAATTCTTATAGGTAGGTACCTACATATATTGATATTATATAGAAGAATATTACTATATCTTAATATGAACTTGTGGATTCATATAAAATAAGTTTTAGATTGTTTTATTTTCCTTTTTTGAACTATTCTGATAGTCTATACGTCTTTACCGGTCGAATATAGAATAGAGATGAGTGTAGAAGACACTCTTGAAGAACAGCTGAAGATTGAAAGTGGTTAAATAGTTAGCATTCATGCATTCCTGCTTGATGGATATCTATGGCTGAGAGATCGAATCGTCGTAATTTCGATTCTCTTTGAAAAAGGACTGGGGATCGACTAGAGTTGGATTTGTGTAATTTTCTTTGAGATGCAAATATTCGTAATAATTTGGTAGTGTTGCTAAGCAAAATTTTAAACCATAATCACATCTAAATAAAAAATATATCTTCATCCCGGTGGTTCTAGGTGCAGATAGACAAAGTTAATTGTCGTGGAATATTTTGTAATATTCGTATATTAGTTGAGTTTTTAGCCCGTTTTCGATGTCAGGCAATATTTTTTTAAATTTTTAAATACTTTAATGAAATACATTATAAAATAATCATCATTTTAATAAACGTTATATATATTTATATGAATATTTAGAATTTATTTCATTAAGTTAATTCTATCTAATCAACGATAGGTGCAATAGGAAAATAATTATAGCAACATAATAAATTAACACAAAGCAAAAATAAATTATAATAAACAATAATAGTTACCTCTACAGAAATATATTACTATAATGTATCTAAATCACATTTAAAAATAACATAAAATAGAAATATAAAGATATTTAATACAGTCAAATGTTAATAGGAATAATTAAAAAAAATCCATTATATTGAGCGATATATTATTGATTAACCTTTATAAACAAAAGCCCAGAGAATATAATCTAGTCTATATATACTTAAAAGTGTGGAAATGCATGTGCATTCAAGTGGCAAAATATCGAATGTATCACTTAACCACCATGTACATTGTACATATATATAAACCATGTTATAATTTAATAATAATAATTTATGATATAATCTTAAATCTTCATGTAAGTAGTGATACATATACTATATATGTATATATATCTATACTAATAAGTAAGTAAGTAAGTAATGTACCCAAAAAGTTAGCACTGAAGATTTATTCTATTTTATTCTGATATGGAATAAAAAACCTCTACAATTTTTAAGTCGGTGAATTTATTATTATTTATTCAAATCTATCCCTACTGTCTAGTTTTGCTAGCTAGCTACTTAACTGGTATAATTTAAAAATGTTAATTTTATAGTTAAAATTTACATACATACAATGGAATCGATTTTTTTTCGAATATCTTATTTTATTTGTACACATTAATACTGTAAAAATAATTGTTAACATAATATCTTTTATTACTTTATAATTATTATTGTGATAATTACGTATCTTTTTAAATTCATTATAATTTCAATATCATTAGCATTAGAATTATCATTATCATTGATTATTTCAATCATCAGCATTTAATTCTATAATATTAGATTACATAACACGAAATATTCTTTGTATATGTAAATTAATAAAATGATTCTAATTCAGCTTTCATTATAATTAAATTTGGAATATTTTTAAATATTATTTTGCTAGAATTTTTTGTGAGATCTAAATAAATGGAATGTACATAGATCCAATATTACTTAACTTAGAGGAGATGGTTCCTATAAACATAAAGCTCGATACTCGACAACAAGATAAAAGATTATTTCTATACATTTCGTACATTTCCTTAATCATTGGTACAGATATTTTTCCATATTACGTTATTTTCCTTTCAGTCAACTTAAAAAATAGGAGTAGTTGAATTTGACTGCTTTTTTAACTTTTTTTTATTATATATCTAAGAACTTTTGTTTGCGTGAATAGATTTTAATTATATTTTTTTGTTACAAATAAAAATATAAATTCTAAGTGCTAATTGCTATTTATAGTTTAATTATTGGTACTGATAATTGCCTATAGCTCTAAGCCAAGCAACAATGAACTTTACTGTAGGTTTGTAAACACTGAGTACAACATTTTTTACCTTTCGCTGCAAAACGTTGATCTTGCGATCTTTGATCTCAGAATGGTCTCTGAGTTCTGCTAGCTCATGAGCAGCGGCCAGAGCAGCTGCTGTTTTCTTCTCCACTACTCTACTCTTTTCATCCAAGCGAGCTTTTAACTCTTCAACCTAGCAAGAAAACATTGTTAGAAAAAAAAACAATTTTAACAACAATAATATGGGAACATCTGAATTAATCAAATGATAGACAAGGTAGACATTATACAAAGGAGTCTGCATGGATATCTCTGTCTCACCTATTTCTATCACCAAGCAGTTAGCTTTGTAAACGGTATTTGAGTACATAGGTGAAGAAAGGCTATTAAACTATAAGGTATGGCATGATACTCAGGAATGGCAATGTAGAAGGTACCACAGACATCCCATCATGTATATAGGCGACAGTACCACTTAAGGGCTGTCAGCGTAATTGTGATTCACACAAAAAAAAAACTATAAAATTGCATTGAATCCTCTAAAATTCAAAGTAAAATTAAGATTCTAGTAAAATCTTTTCGATTGGATAGTAGTCAACAATTTATAAAGAAATTGATGAAAATGTGCATGAAATCACAAATTTACTAATGTTTAGTTCTAATAAAGACAAATAAGCCTTTCAAATTTAATTAATAAGATCGGCCGATACTAATGTACGATGTATAATTCATACAAATAACTAACGTCTGTTTGCAGCATGCTGTAATGCTCCTCCTTCGCGCAGAGGGACTCCTTCAGAACAGCTATGTGACGCTGGTAATCTTGGTGCTGTTCCTCCAGAGCTTTCATCTTCGCTGCCATCGCCAAAATCTCCTGATCTCTCCTCTGGATCTCCAGGCGAAACTCGTCCAACTGAACATCATTCCACCATCCATCCGAAAGTCGGTATAGAATTAGATCAATTCAAATGAACATTAATATAACAAAATGTATAACATCTCTCAACAATAACATGTAAAAACTATCTACTTAGGCAAAAGTGATGGCAGAAATGATATTGATGTTAAAAATTTAAATCTACTTAATAATACTGGGTTAGAAATGGTCGTTAGTAATACTGTTTAAATTTGTGATATTAGTACCGAAATATGAAAAGCGTCGCAAGCTTCATTATGTGTACTTCGTAAGGTAAGAAATGTTTCCAGCACTTTTGGTTTAATGACGATAATAAGTAACGGTGTCATGGAAGACATTTCAACATTCTCCCACATTATACCGCATGCAATAACATTATAATTATTAAATTTAATTGTCCTCTTAATATAATAATGGTACCGAATCACCATGACAATAAAATGGACACTTAGAGCTGGAAAACTTTCTATACTAAATACTAATAGTCAAAAGTTAGAAGAATTAATGTAGAATGTGTCGGTAGAAAGTTTTCCAGGCATTAATAACTAATAGTACCAAAGTTGGACAGTAAACATAGTCGATGCACGGGCGCCTATGTTGTGATACATTTACTACCGTTACTGTGAGAGAAACGGATGAAACATGGCGTCTACATGAAGAGGTCGGGTCGTGGTGAACTAGACTAGCTGATGACGGGTGTTGACGGGGTTGAAAGCTCGTACTGGACTATGAGTTGCGATCACACCGAAAGCACAACATGATCAAATCATAAAACTCGAAGGAATTTCACATAAACGTACTCGAAGATATCATTCGATGCATACGACCACAACAGTCTTTATTTAAACAGTCTCGATTAATCGTCAAATTTGGTGTCAACGTAATCAATCTCACATGTTTCATCTAATCGTACAATTACATCTAAATTTATATATTCGCTTCGTCTAAGGCCCTATTTAACAAAAATATTTCAATCGACATCTTTCAAGAATAGAATTCCTCTTATTTAATAAAAATAGCTTTAACAACGAACATATTTACATAAAAATATTACGAATCAACACAGCCGGTGGCGATTTCGGCTAAGTTCGGACTTAAAGCGAGAAATTGACACGGTAACTCGTCGGTGGAAGCGACGGAGTCACAGGGTGGTGGCACTATAGTAGGGCGAGAGCCGCGCGTGCGGAGCGCGCGGCGTGGGGCGCGGCAGCCGCGCGGGGGGCGCGCTCGTGCGCCCGTCCTTCATCACGCGGACGTCGTTCAGCAGAAAACTTACTTGTCTCTTGAAGGGAGGGTCGGCTTTATCGAAAAGCGAGGCGTGGGAGGGCGCGAGGGAGGGCGGCGGCGGCGACACGAGCGCGGCCAGCTCGCTCTCGAGCAACGCGACCTGCCTCTCCAGCGTGGCGATGCGCGCCTCCTTGGTCTCGAGCACGGCGGTGAGCGTGGCGCCCGCGCTGCCGCCGGGCAGGCCGGCCGCGGCCAGCGCGCGCTCCAGCTGCGTCTGCAGCGCCCGCAGCGTGTCTGCCGTCGCCTTGAGCTCCTGCCAGTCACGCGAGACGGTCAGCCGCCGCCGCCGCCCGCCGCCGCCGACGGCGGCTCTCAACATACAACCTACCTACAACAGGCGACGCGTCTCGTCCACGCCTCGCTGGGGCTGCTACTACTGGAGCCCGCCTCCCGCCAATTTACGGGGAGACCGCTAAGTCCGCGGTGGCACACGGTGGGCCTGGGCTTAAACAGCGCTTGACTATCGAATTGAGAGGATCATTTTTGAAAATATATCAGTATTAATTGTTCACATTTTAATATATAAATCTCGCTTCTAGATATAGAAGCGGTTAAAACTCAAATCGATATTGAGTAATTCCACCATTACAAATCCGATTGGCCTTATAAGGGAATAAATAACATAGTTGATCAAAATATAATAGATCAGCTTAACATTGATGTACATGGTTTACAAACATATACAAGAATTTGTACAATCAAACCAAGAGTGACGTCATGATATGAAAAACACACCCTTCGGTTGTATTATGATTGAATTGGCCATCTCATTGTAACTTGATGGTGAATCGTTGGGACACGGGCTCCAGATACGCGATCCTAGCAAACGATCCGATGTAATTATATCGGTGTCCTGAGTGGAGACGATTACTCGTCGGAACAACGGACGCAGCCCCAGATGTAGGCGGTACAAAATAAATTTTGCAGCTAATTAATGATTGCTCAACTGAATGTCCAATAACAAAATACGAGACGGTCTTCTCTAAGGTTCATGTGACGGGGACATGATGAGCCGCTAAACATGCAGTGTTGTGATCGATTTGTGTTCGTGTCTTTTTATTTCTGTGTATTTGAGCCGAATCAATAACGTTTACCAGATTAAATTTTGAACTTTGTTTTAGTTTGTACCACGTGTGAATGTAATATTATGTTAGAAAACGGAGAGAAGTGCTCGGGGAACAAGCTTGATAGTGTTATAGAGGCTCGATAGACCGTGGGAGTGAGAAGCAAGAGTCGTAAGAGTTGTGAAGGCACGTGGTTGGTCGTCACATACAAGGCAACGCGACAGTCACATTCGGCGTAAGTCAAATGAATGAAATGAAACTATCAAGTTTACAACTAATAGAAACAGTGACGATGATGAAGGTATCACAAAATAAAACGCCCATGTGGTTATAACACTAGTAATACATAAATATAAGGAAGCATTGAGACGTGCACAGCTACATAGCTACACAAACACACACTGAAGGAGATCTATACAACTAAAGCAAAGCCACCAATGGTCTGAAATATGGATATTCGCTTTGGAGACTATTGGGGGCGTTGCTGGATTTACACAACATGCAATACATTTATCTATGTCACAATAATTACCTGCTTTTGTGCCATCGCTTGCATTTGCTGAAACATCTGCCTTTCTTCTTCTTTGCCTGAAAACCGTCCTATCTTTTATTACTCCTACATTGTTAATATACTTTACTACTGTTTCAACTTCAGTCGTAATTTCATTAAGTTCTAAAATTATGTTTTCAAATTTAATTAGTAACACTGTACCGAACACAGAAATATAAACATTACAACATATAGTTCATTCATTAGTATGCAGTGAACATACCCATTCCTTTATTTTGCAGCATTTCAAGTAACTTTTTGATGCTCTCATCTCTCGCTTGCAGAGTCTGCTTTTGTGTTTCAATTCTCAACTCTAATTCCTGTATAAAAGAAATATAATACGGTATAGTTGTAAATTGAAATTTTCATAATGGGTAATACAATTAACATTCAAACCTTACTTGTATAACATGATGAATAAATTATATTTATTATATTAAATATAATTTATTCATCATGATATTATTGTTAGTGGTACGGTTTCTTTAGAAGAGAACAATATAGCTTTTCATTATGCCGCTAGTCAGATGGCTTGGTGTATAAGTTGAATTTATAATCATATTTTGTTGTTGCTATACTTTGTTTGCCCCTAGTCGCTAATGACTTAAACACAAGTACATGATATGAAATTTATTTTATTTATTTGCGTCAAATACGGTATAAGTATTAAAAAAAATATTACTGACATAATTCAGAATAGTCCAAATATATATGATTATTCACACTGTCATTGTCTAATTTACAACTCGACTAGACCCAAGGATCGTGAGTTCGAATCTGGCTTGTAAAAAAAAACTTCGTGTATCAATTTATTTCCGGTAATTTAATTTAAGAGACGGCGGTAATCTCTTTTGCAGCCACATTGGAATATATCCAACGAAGTTTGGTTATTGATGCCACAACTTCAACAATATCTCTGGCTACCACATCTGGGATACCAGTACGTGAAGATATATTAACTTGCAGCATTACTTTGGTTAAAGTTTACTGTAGTTAGTAAATTATCAAGTTGCACGCAACGTGGCAAACTTGTAAAATTGGCCGCAACCAAAGATGTTACAGAAATTTCAATTAATTCATGTTTTACTTTATATAGGCCATAAATTAATTGATTAATTACTTCTGATCAGGTGTACGATATTATAGGATTCAAAATACCTTAACAATTCATTTCTTAATATAGTCGATGTTACCCGGAGCTCTGCAAGCGTAGTGTCATTATTTTGGAAGAATTTTCAAATAAATGTGTAAGGAAGATACTTTTCCAAAGAATTACAAGTACCTACAAGTAATATTATGGAATAACTTCACGGCTATAATACTAGATGGGCTAGTTAGAGGTATTATCAACTGTCAATGTCAGGATGAACACAATTCTTAACAGTACCCAAATTTAGCTGGATATATTGATCCTGTTAGCACGGCGACCTACATAGACCTATCATGCTCGCCGTTTTTTTTTTTAAAGTTCGCTACTTAGGCCTGTCAGGGATAAGAATTGTAGGATATTTTTAGGAGCGACGGTTTTTATCTGCTCAGGGTATAGTGTATACTTTCCGAAGGTGATACTTCTCTTATGCATGAGTGGGCTACAAACTTCTTGCAATCTACTTTGGCGGTTGTAACAATCCCAAAAAAGGATCTCATTCTTACCTTAATGGTGTCCCTCAATATTGCGATCTCTCTCTGCAAGTGTTCATTCTCGGAGAATAGTGCTTCTAGTTGTTGTTGCAACTCTGGCGCCGGTTGTCGCATTCTCAAACGGAGTTCTTCTTCCAACTGACGGACGAGCATAGCTTGTTTCTGTAAATAAAAATATATTTTGTTAAACATTTTGAAACTCTTGTAATGTCGTTATTCTCTCAGTGTTTTATAGTAATAATAAGGAGATGAACAACATGAACAGCACTAAGGACATGATGTTATCATGTAACAAGCGTGATACCACTCATGCGTGATACCACCCTTTCTAGAGGACTAAGTTGTCAAACATCTTATTCTGTAATTTCACTGACAAATCGCATACAAACGAAACACAGCTTACAAAGCTACTTGGAGACAGAAATAGAAGACTGAGTTATCCACGCAGACGACTTTTTACAGTCTAGCTCTAGTAAAGTCAGTTCTTATATGAATAAAACAGTTACATTTTATTTAGTTCCCTTTACGCTACCCTATATTAAGTAACATTAATGAGAAAGACGAATTTTTTAATAATTGTTTGCCATTATTGAAACCGTGATAACAAAGGACTGATTTATTGATGAAATAAGTGAATTTTTAACATTCCAACATATGGCTCTGTGCCTAAATGTATTTATAATATTATTAGTAAAAAGTATTCTTAATTAACACTCAGCGCTATTCAATATGTTTATATCTATATTTATATGTGTAAAAAGCAATAGAATCAGAAAAAACAATAACAAATTAATCAATTTTGTAACACAAAATAATTTGAGGGACCTAAAGGGATCCCTTTTAATAATATATTTTAGTCATTATATTATATTCTTTAAGCTTTTTAATTTTAGGTTCTTAGTTGTACAATTAGGTTATGTAAATAAATTGATAATACATTCTCTTTTGATATCAGTATGGTTTATATAACCATTGGAACACGACGATCTCCTTCTCAAGTTAATATTATATTGAAAAAAAAAAACTCATCTGAATTATTGTAAATAAAACAAAATTACTTTATGGTCGCGCTTAAATGGAAACATAAATCAAAACCGCATGTCGGTTCATGTTAGTACAATAGCAAAACATATATGGCCGCCATGTTTGTATGTATAGGAATGTGGCCTGTTATTCGGAAAGAATTAGGGAGAGATTACAGTTATACAAATAAGCGGAGAAATATCACAGTTAGTGGTTAGGGTATTTTGACAACTGCACTATATTTCTTTGGATGTACTTATTTAATAGTTAGATACTTATAAAATTTAGGCCATGGTTCCGAATTAAAAAAATCTCCGATGTTTTTCATCGTTTCTTATAAACAGGTAATTTGTCAAGTGCATTATATTTCTTTGGATATACTTATTTAATTTCGCTAAATATATCAAAGTTCAATTCAGTCTACTTTAAGCTTTCTAATATATAAATTCCTCGTGTCACAATGTTTGTAACAAAACTCTTCTATAACGGCTTGACCGATTCTTCTCGTAAAATTTAGGCTTTGCTTCAGAATTGGAAATCTCTTTTTGATTTTAAACGTTTCTTGCAAACCATGTTGGTTAAAGTATCGACAATTTTTTTATATTATAAATTTCGTAATACCATTAAAACTGTATAACTGGAAACCCAATGGAATCTCTCTTAGTATTTCACCTCTACGTTTGTTTATAAATAAACGATGAAAAGTATTTAAATATTTTATTCTATATAGAAAAAGGTAATTTAATTTACACGTGCAAAGGTATATAGTTTTATAGTCACAGAGCACACGCGATATTATAGAGCGGTACAGAGCACTCACTCAGTGTTGCCAACCATATCGTATCATTTATTGGACGCATATAATAGTTTTTTAGTTACTTATTGACTTTTTTCATTTATATAGTACCAATGTACCACTTGTCTATTTGGACAGGGAATGGGCACCGTTTATTCTAAAGTACAGGACTTTTCCTATTCATATTATATTTAAAAAAAAATACTGTATTATGTATATTTCTTTCATAAATAAATAAAAAAAATCTACTTATCTTATTTCAAACGTTCCCACTGTAAGAGTCGTATAATACCTCATATATTATAGTCATAATTTCATAATATCACAGTGAAACTGCTTTCCGCTCCGCTTAATATACAAAGGTTGATACCCTAGCGACCCTTCCGCGTTCCCTTCGCCCTATTTTCTTCCTTAATTTCAATGGAATCGATACCTTCAAGGCCTACAATCGTTTGTGGTATCAAACATTCACAAATGAGATTTAATGATTTTAGTAATAACGAAACGCAGCTTTTTTATGAAAATTATGTTTTCGACTCATTTTAAATATTGGTTGTTTGTAATAATATACCTTAATGGCTATTATACTAGATAGGGTAGTCAGAGGCATTGTCAATTGTCGACTTCGTGGTGAACGGTACATTTGATACAGTTACTGTTTGCTTGGCATATTTTAGTCTCTCGGATTAATTTGAATTTGTTATACATTTTCCATTACCGGACAGTATTAGAAATAGAAGTAATAATTATTCTAATAAACTTAATATATGCACCTTCGAATAGTCTGTGTTGCTCTTTTAAATAAATGTTTTTCTAAGTATACATTAACAGGGGTTGGTCAATTAAAAATATAAATTGCGGCAATGATTTTTGTTGTATACCAGATTCGTTTTATGCCTCTTCTTCACAGCCTTTATGTCTTTTGGATGAAGGGTATAAGACAAGGCAGTGAAATTACAAGGTATGGCTTGCCATACTTGTGACAAGTCCTCATGTCAGTCCAATGCACGAAACACCACAATATAACTATAATATGATGTCTTTAGTGCTGTTTGTGTATAGGTTAGATTAGCCACCCGTCCTACTTTCCCAGGGCATGTCCTAGTTCTTGTCGGGACCTGTCCTGGTACGTCCTGAATAGTTTTTAAACAATGTTCTGGGTTTTCAATTGTTTAAATTCTTATTCATACTCTAAAATGTTGAAATACTTTCATTAAATATATGATTAACTATTGCAACTCTATTACTGTGTCGTTTTTAAATAAATTGTTCTGGTATTCCCAATATTCAACTCTGGTTTTTTACATTTAGGGTAGGCAACCCTAATTGATGGTGATATTTGCCACTTACCATCAAATGACCCGTTACATAAAAAAGCAATATAATTAAGGAATAGGAATGGAAAGGCTTCAGGAATGGTAAATATTGAGCGGTGGGGTATGGCGTGACTGGTAGCTGATAAGAACGGTCGATGATCGATGCAAGCGTTGTTAATTGATATTGTTGTACCTATTACATCAACGTGTGTTTGATAAAAAGTTGTTATATTGAATACTAACTGTCCCGCGCAATTTTGTCTTACATGTAACGTTATATTTCGTCCAATATACATAATATCTTTTTAAATTATAGCCCATGCGTTATTCTGTTAAGAATGAGTGAAGCCTATGTGTTATATATATTTTTTATAAACGTTTATTACTGTAAACTTTCGTTCAGATATTTCTGCGTGAAGGAGTAAGTGCATTAAGTTATAGAAAAAGTATCCGAATTGAAACTGAATTATAATTATTGTTATCTGTGAAATATCTGTGGTAAGATTTAAAAATATGCGGTTCTAGCTTAACCATTTCCTTCTTGGATGCATTGCCGACCAAGTAACAACTTATAAGAACGTTTTCATTATTTAAAACTCATTATGCGTAAATCCAAAATTCACTTTGTACAAAGTTATCTGCCTCTGTCTCACTTCGGTTATCATGCAAATTGCTTTGCATGATTGCAGCTTCAGGTGTGACAGAGTAATTACAGAATATAGAGGCATTATAACTTAGTTCTCTGGAATGGTAACGCATGAAGGGTATTATGAGGGTGAATAATAAAATTATCAATGTAGAGCCGATTGTGTATATTAGCAACAGTTGCCATTTGTGAGAAAGGGATTGTTAGTAACGTGGAGCAATAACCCCACTGCTAACAATATACAATGGAAGGGCATTGTTAGTAATGTGAGGTAGTCATGTCGGACCTCCACGTGGTTCCCCCGGGAAACCATCGTCCTAAATTCATGGTGAATTTTTTATTTTTAATCAATACCATACATCATCCCGGATATCAATTTCCAGGCTTACTACTGTTTTCATGGTGAATTTACCATGATGGGCTAACTGACCTGACCTCGTCTTATCATCCTCCACTGGTGCCCCGCCAGCGTTAACTGTTAGGCAGGTGCACCATTACATCTATCTATTTTCCATAAGAAAAAAACGATTGTCAATTATTATCAGGTCCGTCATCTTACATTCCAGTTAAAATTTAAAAAGATATTCTAAAATAAACTAATCTATATTTGCCGCCTTACCCTCTGAATGCGTTTCATAGCATGCATCGAGTCTACATTACACTCATGCTATAAAACGCGATTCAGATTATATAAAGTGATGGCGATTATAACTGTTCCAAGTACAGTCAGCCACTTATAAATCATAGCGCGATGAATAAAAATATTTAGTACTTTTCTAAATCAATTCATAGAACAAAGCCTCACTCACTAAACGATTACTTGAATGACAAATGTGCATAGCAATAGTATGCACGGGATTTTCATTTAATGTATAAGAATTTTAGAAAGGCCAAGGCCATGTTACTAAAAAGGTTGGGAACCACTGCTCTAATTATATAAGTACATATCAAGCTCCCAGCAATATTATTACAGATGTAGACAGAAGATGTCATAAAAAGTGTTTATTTTTACTTATTCCACAGTAAATTGAAAAATAACACAATATTTATTAACAGAATGTCTTTCAACATATTTATATAGCTGACTGTACCTGGTGCATACCACCAATAGAGGGAGGTAGAACACCTACTTCATGAGGCCGGTTGAATAACATGAGCTTGGTATGAATTTAAAAGCTTTTAGTAAACATAGTAACATTTACGTAGCCACAGTTCAGACTAATAACCGTACGTATCTATTAATTACTTTCCCCCCTTTGTCACACTTGATCACATTTCAATAGCTAACATTTCGTATTTCAATACTAAAATGTTGGAAACTTCTAGAAGAAATATTAGAAAGTTCGCGTTAAAAATCAAGAAACTGGCTTTCGTTTAATAT